TATTGCTTACATTTTGTGGAATCATGCTTGTATTTGGTGTACTTTAAATTTGCTAATTGCACCCTTTTGGTTCACAGGCTAGGAGAGAAAAGATAAGTGAAAGGATGAAAACTCTCCAAGATTTAGTCCCTGGTTGCAACAAGGTGCAACATTCATATTTCAATTACATTAAAAAATTATAATTATTAGTCTATGTATTACAAGGCATGATCTAGTCTAGTTCCTCATTGATTCTTTCATTTGCTAGAATTTAATTACATTAATTTTGCATGGTTCAACTTGATGACCCTAAACTAGCACATTATTATCCTCTCAAGTCCAATAAATACACACATCCACCAGTGATGTATCCCACAGAGCAGTATAGTCACCCTTCTTATCTTGACAAACCCTGTAAGAGTGGTTGAATAAGTACTTTTAGTTTATATAACCTTGTGAATTGTTGGAAATGTCTATTTCTAAGGGGAGTTTAATTTTGGTTAGACCACGAGATGTCCTGAGTAGGCCCTAACTATAGGAGGCACCTTTAAGCCTGTACCATACTCAGATTAATCCCCCTTCGCACCGGGCCGGCCCAATTAAGTGGCAAAGTGCTTGCCATACTGGTTTTTTCATGGGATGAGAGTGCATGGCCACTCGCGCCAACCAAGCTAGTTTCTAAGGGGTGTTTATTTGGTATGGCAGGTTATTGGCAAAGCATTAGTCCTTGATGAGATAATTAATTATGTCCAATCACTACAACGCCAAGTTGAGGTGTGCTTCTGATCTCTTTCTCTTTCTCTAGAATATTGTTCATTAGATACTATCATTTGATGTAGCTATTGTGCAAAAAGAATCTGAAATTTGCTTCATTTCCAGTTTCTGTCCATGAAGCTTGAAACAGTTAACTCAAGAATGACCCCTAGCATTGAAGGATTCCCATCAAAAGATGTGAGTGCTCTACATTTCTATGATGAAATCTTAACCTGTTGAGTTCAGATAATGCTTCAGATAACATGAAATTGAAAGTAGAGGAAGATTTTATTTTTTTTTTCTGAATCCTTAGGACACGTGATATCGATATTTGAAATGACGTGTGTTAACTTTTTCTAGTTTCCTCCACAAGCGTTTGACGCGTCTAGCTTGGCATTTGGTTCACAAACTACAAGAGATTATCAAAGCGGAACATCACCAGATTGGTTGCATATGCAGATTGGTGGTGGATTTGAAAGAACTACATGAGTAAATAATCCCCTAGAGTTGCAAATATAAGCAGTAGGGGCCAAGGGGGTTATAAAATGCCACAATTTAGTTTTATTTCTTTTTATTTATATTTTAAAAGAAGAATAAGTGATTTCTGGTGGAAAACTGAAAATCATTGGAATTTTGTATAATTGCTATTGAAAGTATCTTTTGAAAATCAGCTTCTTCCAAAGAGTTTATAGGAATTCCTTCTTGCCTGTGGAAATGGCTACAATTTGCCCTTTTTATGGTTGAATATTTGTTTCTACTTTCTAGTAAGGTATTTATTTATGGCAAATTTATTGATGAATGATGTTTTCCAACCATACCTAATGATTTTTTTTTTTTTTTTTTTTTTTTTTTGTTTTTTTTTTGTTTTTTTTTTTTTTTTTTGTTTTTTGTGATATATACTGGTTTATAGTTCCACTGTCAACAACATGTGGACCACCTATCTTCAGTACTATATCTACTAAGAGCTAATTCCCTTTATGTTAAGAAAAGCAAGTATTTCTTTAGCTTAAAACAACTTGAATATTTGGTGCACATCATCTCTGGAGGTGTTAAAATTGACCTAGAGAAGTTGGTTGTTGTACAATTAGATCTAGCAATCCTCAAGTATAAGGGGAGATTATGTGTGGGCATTACTGGGGGCCTTAGACAAAAAATTTTTGGAAGCAGTCTATGATTTAGCTCTGAGAGGACACTCTTGGAACCTTGGGAATTGAAGCATATGCTCCATCCATCTCATAGTTAGATTGCACATTAATGGTTATATACTCAACACGCCCCCTCACGTGTACAGTGGATCGGGCTCTGATACCAAATTGAAGCATATGTTCCATCTCAACTAAAAGCTTAAGCTGATAGTTGGATTGCACATTAATAGTTATATACTCAACATTGGGAACCTACCAAAGAGCTAAAGTATCCTTCTATTAGCCACACATGAAACATGATATTAACCGATATGTCCAAGAGTGTGGAACGTGTTAAAGGAACAAAACAAAAAATGTACTAGATCATGCTTGGGTTCATATCACAAAGGACTTCATTGAGTTTGATATCGATACGGAATGAAATTTTTTGGGTTTTTAGCAAATTTTAGCAACAAATTAAAAAATTGGGAAAAGAAACACATATTTTTGTTTTATAATTTCTAGAAAAATAAAAACACGTTTTAGCTAATAAACCAACTTTAAATATTTATTATTTGCTATATGCCAATGCACAATATCAAAAACATGTGAGATATTTAACTAAACATCGCTGAAGTGGCTTGCGTAGGTGCATTTACTGTCAAAAAAATTGAAATGTCAAGAATGGGATTCGAACCCATGCCCTTTCGGACCAGTACCTGAAACTGGCGCCTTAGACCAACTCGGCCATCTTGACGTTGAGTATAATGATTTACATTCCCCTTTAAATAGAGAACAATTTTGAGAGTTCTTTTCAAACCTTGACGACTAATTCTATTATGGCGATTTCACTAGTTATTCTATTACTTTTTAGTTATGAATTGTTAATTCATCGTCTCAACATAAATTAATTATCTCAATTATTTTGGGTAACAAAAAAAAAAAATTACCGTCACTATATGAGGGTGTGTTAACATAGGTTATTCATAGCTGACCAGTTTAAACCAAGAAGTTTAATACGACATTTTCTTTAGCTGACCGGTTTAAATTAAGAAGATCAATAGGCCATTTTTTTTGAGAGTAGAACTTAAAATCTTGTGATTACCAAAATCAACCGTTCAATCAACTTGAGTGAAATTATCCCCAATCATCTCAATGATTAAATGTTTAGATGGGGACACTTAAATTGTGATAAATTAATTACTCCATTTTGTATGCTTTGATTGGAATATAAAAACTAAATAAAGATATCTTTTTATTTAATTTCTATCATAATTAATAATTAAAATCTGTCTACATCTTACTCTAGTAAGTACGGGTTGTGATCATATGAGAACTAACCTTCCCATGAGTCTATGAGAAGTACGGGTTGTATGCATATTTGGGATGTATGTGCATATGGTCGGTACGACTAAGGGGGGGGGGGGGGGGGGGGGGGGGGGCGAGATAGCTATAATTGATGTGCATATGTAGGTTATTCTGTGTGTAGATGCTGGTTAATCGTACTCACAAATAGAGGTGAGGTTGAGGTGAGGTTGTAGTTCCTTAGCATTCATCCCAAGCGTTGGTCTCCCGACAGAGGCCATAGTATCTCAAAAATAGAGGAAGCGAATTGGTTTATTTGTGGCAAGGTCGGCGTCCAACCACCAAAAACTCTGGCGTAGTAACAACCTGGTTCTGAGGTACTATACAGATACTACATACATGTTGTAAGCCCTCTTAATCATCAGTCAACAAGAGTAAAATTGGCAAAATCTTGGGCAACTATGTTGGTATCCATACAGAACATGTAAGAAACAGGCGAAGAAATCCTAGCAAACAACCATCGCAGAAGACAGGGAGGCGAAGAAACCCTAGCAAACAACCATCGCAGAAGACGGGGAGGGAGAAAGCTGTATCATGAAGGAAGGCGAGAGAAAAACTTAAATCAAACCTAGTCTGAAATGATTTGATAAGACATGGGCAACGCCAATGCACAATACCAAAACATGAGATATTTAACAAAGCATTACTGAAGTGACTTGCATAAGTGCATTATATTCATACAATCATTCTTCAAATCATGCCTTCATCCTAATTCAAGCTTAATTAATAGTACAGTTATTTAGCAATTAGACTAACATTATCCTTGCAAATCTCTCCCACTTTTAAAAATGGCTCCCACTTCCACCTTCCAAAATCTTAATCGAAAGATGTTATCATGGTTTACCCCAAGGCATAATCAATGATAGAGACAAGTCTTTACCAGCACTTTTTGGTAAGAATTATTCAAGAAGCTGAATGTCAGGCTTAATCTTAGTACAGCTTACCATCCTCAAACTTATGGACAATAAAAAAGATTGAATAGATGTCTAGAAACTTATCTCAAGTGCGCCACCTCACACCAACTTAGGAATTGGAAAAAATAGCTTACTCTTGCTGGATATTGCTATAATACCAATTATCATACTACCTTGAAAAGGACTCCATTTCAAACCCTCTCTGGTATGTTTCCCTATGTTCTTAGCAGATCAATCAACCCCCATCTCAGGGAGAAGTGTGAAAGAATGGCTAACTAGCAGACACACAATGTTGGCTATCTTAAAATATAACCTGATTAAGGTCAAGAACAGAATGAAACAATATGCAAATAAACAAAGGACTAATAGAGTTTTTTCTGTGGGGGATTGGGTATATCTCAAGCTACAACCCTATAGACAGACTTCAGGTACAAAGAAATCTTGAACTGAGTTCCAAGTTCTATGGTCCCTATGAGATCATTGAAAGTTTTGTTGATGTGGCATACAAACTTAGGTTACTAGTCTTATTCACCATGTGTTTCATGTGTCACCACTAACCACTTTTTCAGTGCCACAATTTTTTTTTTCTTTTTATAATGAGAGAAACCCATAATCATTGTCCGAAAATGTGCCACAAATTATTTCGAGTCGCAACATCGGGAGAGAACACCAACCTCTCTAGCAAGGGAATAAAAGATCAGAATGAAAGGAGTGTTGATGCCCTCTCCCAGTGGCATGTGATGCCACCAGTAGGACGATATTTTCCAAAATAGAGTGAGAGAAGGTGAGGAGTATAAAGTGTTTTCTCTCCCTACGCACTCCCTCTCTAATTAAAAGTTCTTTGATACACATACACTCACGGCTCTTTATGAAAACCTTGCTCTTTCAGTGTATGCAAAAGCTTGCATTGCTAACATAGCACAAAGTAATATTTACAGAAACAACTTTGTTATACAATCACTTTTTCCACCATTATGCTATATATATATATATATATATATATATATATATATATATATATATATATATATTGTGAGTTTAAAACGACTCAACAGTTGAAAAGGAGAGAGAACGGAATATCACGTAACTGGCTGTGATTTGCCGTATGAAGCTCCACTTTGGTTAAAACCAGTACTGCTAGACTGAAAGTAATCAACTGCTGACCAAAGCACACGTAACAGCAGGATGACCACAAATACAGTGCCACCTAGTGTGCAGATCACCTAAAATACGAGTGCTTGAGTGAACAGTGTGGTTGTAAAAATATAGATAAATAACACCCTATGTCATCAATCCTAATTAGTGAAAGTAACGAAGAAATCCCTGCATGATGGGGAGTCCATGGCATGACTGATATAAACTGCATAGCTAACGAAGACGTACATTAACATTCAAAAATCAAAATTGCCATGGAAAAGCAATACCTCGAGAAATGCCTTCAAAATCGAAAGTGAAGCCAATATCAAAACACCATCAACAGCAAAAGACACCTGCAGTCACTCAGCAGAAGAGACAGTCGTTCAGAACATATGCAACTACATGCATAATGTGCAAGCTAAAAATATTGTGAACTTTCTACCAAAGCATATTGTAGTGGAACTGTGGAAGTCTATATTTAACCTGAAAGAACTCTTCCAGAAAATAAATTAATTGTAAGAAGCCCAACTTACAACATTTTAACTAGAGATTCCCTCATAGATTGATTAAAGTAGTCACGCAAAATATCTGATCAACACAATCTACAAAAGAAGAGGCAGGAGACAAAATTGTGCAACAATACATATACCCTCTGAGATTCACTTGAAAATTATTATGTTTCCTTCTTTTACAGGGAATCTTGAAAGCATAACTCCATGTTCGAAACCTCAAAAATGTTGAATGAATTCAGATTTTCTTGCCACATGAATTGTATCTACAACTTGTTCTTCAATTCACAGCCAATTGATAAATAGTGCTGGTTTCCACTATTAATGATCGGACAAATTACAAAGTAAACTAAAACTTGAAAAGAATTAATAAGCAGGAAAGAAAGCAGACGGATAACATTATTACGAAGCCTAAGTCCTCTCACACGTACTTCTACAATTTAACTACAAGTAAATTCAGCTAAAACTTATTCCCAGTTTATCCATATACTTCTCTTACCTCCATATCTTCTCGTAAAAATGGAAATGAACACTTCCATAATTTTAATTTCAGTACAATGCCCACTCTATTTAGAGAATTATTACAACATAAAGTTAAACTAAAAGTTGACCTAAAACCTTGGAGCTCTCACTCATTCTACTTAAAGCTTCATCTTGTCCCAACTACGATTCTCTCTTATGATTGATCCCAGCACAAAGTGGCCGGGTTTTAGAGGCCCCTAACACTATTCTTTGCAATTAACACAAATTTATAAATGAAAATTTGAACTCATGTATAGCTAAGAAGAGAGGAGTTTAAGAGAAATTACAAGCTGTGGCGAGATGATGTCCGGCAAGATGGAGGAAGTGGCCTTCCTGGCACGCTTGGAGACCTTCTTGAAAATGCTCCGTACAAACCTAATTAGCAAATCTATACTGCTCTCTGTGTCATCGTCTTCATCATCGTCATCGCTCTCATACTCTTCCTCTGCCATAATTTCATCCCCGAAACTCGACCCGAAGATTCCTTCTCCTTCCTCTCTAATCGAGCCACTAAACTGAAATAAAATTTAAAAAAAAAAAAAGAAACATAATTTTAAAAAATCAATTTGCGTAATTCATTGCGTGCGTGCACATTTTCAGGCGTGTGTACCTTAGCATGACAAATTGTGAGGCTAGGGTTTGTGTGGTGAAATCGTGGAAGAGTGGATGAACAGAGCCCTGGAAATGGGGACGGTGGCAGTGACAGGGATGAGAGAGGTGTGGATGAAGGCGGTGACGTTAAAATAAGTGTAGAAGTGGCGGCGGCGGCGGCGGCAACTCCCGCCATTTGTATTTTGATGAAGCGATTTTAGTCTTTCCAGTTTCTGCTAAGGGAGCACTGGAGCAGAGATTGTTGCCGTCAAAACGGACTTAACCCGCCGGGTTAGCCCGTCCCGCCCCGCGAAAAGGGTGGGACGGGCTTTGATATTTTAGGCCCGTATTTTGGCGGGCTTTTTACCGGCCCCGCCTAACCCGCGGGCTTTGACGGGGCGGGCTTGACGGGTCGGCGGGAACCCGCCAAGCTCGTCAAATATATGATAATAAAAATTATTAAAATAAATAAATGCTACAATAGTACATTTATAACATTAAATATGTCTTGTCAACTTGATTATATTACTAACATTAGTGTATATATATATATATATATATATATATATATATATACATCCATTTATATAATTAGTATATTAGTATTTAATATTAGAATTTTGGATTGGAAAATGGTTTTGTTGAATGGAGCAGTACGGAGTACTAGAGCCGTCAATTTGATAAGCTAACATGTTTTGTTGTTTAACAGTGAGCTGTATGCCTGTCTTCTACAATTTGATAAGCTAGCAACATTTCAACAGTCAACTAGCCATAATATATATATATATATATATATATATATATATATATAATCATGTATGGACTAACACATTATGTATTTGATTATTTTTTAGTCATTATTGTGACTAAAATTACAAATGCATTAACATATGTTTAAACTATCCAAATTATTTTAATACTTATTACCTTTTTTTATATATATATTTTTATTTAAATTTAAAATTTGGCGGGCCCCGCGGGCTTACGACGGCGCGGGGCGGGGCGGGCCTAGATATTTTAGGCCCGTATTTTGGCGGGCTTTTTAGCCCGCCCCCGCCATATGGCGGGCTTTGGCGGGCCCCGCCCCGCCGGCCCGTTTCGACAGCTCTAGCAGAGATGGAGTCATGGAGAACGAATTTTAGTGTTTTTTTTTTTTTTTAAATAATGGTTAAATAGGCTACTCAACTGCACACTTGAAAAAAATACTTACACGTTCGGTTAGAGGGGGGTAATTATGTGAGAAAGGAATTGTAATTCTATGGGAGTTGAATTTTTGAGAATAAAGTGGGAATTTAAATTCCAGTGTTTGGTTGACAGGAATAGAATTACTGGGAATTTCAATTCCAATGTTTGGTATACATGGGAATTGAAAGGAAATAAGTAGTATAAAGTCAAAAATGTCCATTATTATTGTTAGACATTAATTTTAGTTTAAAAAAGGAAGATGTAATTTTGACTCATCACTATCTTTTTTTCTCAGGATTTAAAATCTCAGGGGGGACATGGGATTTTAATTCCATGAAAATGGGGGAATTACAATTCCAATTCCCTCCAACCAAACTACGGAATTTAATGGCCGTTGGAATTAGGTGGGAATTGAGTGGGAAGGGAATTTAAAATCCCTCCAACCAAACGCCCTGTTAATGTTGAGTATAATTATTTGAGTAAATATCCAAAATGGTCCCTCGACTATAGCTAAATTCACAAATTGGTCCTCAACTTTCAATTTCACCCAATTAAGTCATTAACTTTGTAATTTTGACACGATTTGGTCCTCCATTTAATTGACCGTTTGTTGACCGTGATCGATGATCTCCAGAAGAACCTTTAGCTCTCGTCAGAGCACGTGGAGGCCTCCAGGATGACGTTGCACCGATTCGGAAACACGTCGTCTTCTTCGCTCTGGTACGAATTCAACTACATTGAATCCAAATGGAAGATGAAGAATGTGAGCGGGTTTGGTAGATTGCTTTCGACAGTGGATTCAAATGTAACAGTGCGGTATGGAAATACAATCGGAACCTTAAAAAACCAACGATGAACCATGAAATTACATATATATCCTAAAAAATCACAGTCAACAAATGGTCAAATAGACAGAGGACCAAATTGTGTTAAAACTACAAAGTTAAGGACTTAATTAGGTGAAATTGAAAGTTGAAGACCAATTTGTGAATTTAGCTATAGTCGAGGGACCATTTTGGGTATTTACTCTAATTATTTTATGTCTAATTTTGAGAAGGGTTTAGGGTAGCGCCTCAAGCTCTCAGAAAATTAGTGGTACCTTTAGAAAAGTTAGATCGGTGGGAGAAGTAGGAAATGGAGCCTTGAAGCTTCTCTAAAGAGCATCAAAGCTCCATAATTTAAATTGTAATGCCCATCCGCTCGGCAAGTGGATGGGCAGGCTACTTAATTTAGGAGCCAAGGTTTCATAATTAAGGAGCTTCATACAAATTTTGTTATATATAAATATATAAATATATAAATATATAAATATAAATATATAGTGGCCCGTTTGGTTCACGGAATAGGCCGGGAATGGCATAGCATTCCATATTCCTTTGTTTGGTAACCATTTCTATTACCAGGAATAATATTCCTGATAATAGCCTATTACCTCAAATAAGGTAATAGCTATTACTAGGGCCCCCTGGTATTAGCCTATTACTGAACGCTCAGGAATAGATTTTAGAATCTATTTTCTTTTTTACCCCTTTCTTTAACCTAATTTTTTTATCCTATATATAAATTTATCCTATTTCACTACCGTCGTCGCCACCACCACCATCACCGCCGCCGCCGCCGCCACCACCACCACCATCGCCACAACCGTCGCCGCCCCCACCACCACTGCCACCGCAACCACCACCACTACCACCCCAGCACCACCACCGCCACCAGAACCACCGCCACCACCACCATCGCCACAACCGTCGCCGCCCCCACCACCACTGCCACAACCGTCACCGTCACCACCACCACTGTCGCCCCCAGCACAGCCACCGCCACCACCACCATTACCACCCCAGCACCACCACCACCACCGCCACCACCACCATCACCACCACCGCCACCACCATCGCCGCCACCACCACCACCACCACCATCGCCACCATCACATATTTTTATAAGGGTATTTATGTCTTTTAAAACATATTTCATTTCTATTCCTTAAATCAACCAAACACTGTAATATAATTCCTAAAGTCTATTCCTTCCGCGAACCAAACAATATAATACAATTCCTATTCTATTCCTTGCCTATTCCATTCCTTATGGAATAGCATTCCTATTACCTCAAAATTCATTCCGTGAACCAAATGTGCTATAAATGTCAGGGCGTTTTGGATAAAGACTTTTCTTTCCTCAAAATGTCAATTGCAAATGTTGCAAAATGTGTGTATATATAATTTATTTAAATATATATTTATTGATAGATAAAAATTATAATTAATTAAATATATACATTTATATAATACATTATATTTATTAAATATAAATATTAAATAATGTGAGAAGGGTACTTTTGGTGTTTGTGATATAAAAGCTATTCCCAAGAACATGGGAATAGCTAATACCAATGCCTCCCTAGGAATTACTATTCCCCTTACAAAGGTAATAACTCATTCCTATGAATTTTATTTCCATGATAAAATTATTCAACCAAACAATGAAATATGTATATTTCATAATGTTATTCCATTCATGACTTAAATGAACTAAACCTGTCATTATTGTGATAAGTTTGTTGGTGGAGGACCAAAAAGTAGTAACACCTCAAACTCATAGGACCTTTAGGGTCTGTTTGGAAACTCAAAAAATGATTTTCAGACATTATTTTCCGGATTTTTGGTGTTTGGCTAGGCTGGAAAATGAAATGTCAAAGGAAAATGAGTTCCAGGCAATGGAAAATGAGTCAATTCTTCCGGAAAATGACTTCCACTTTTTTTTGGGGAGTCATTTTCCATTCCTTACTTCTCTCACTTTGAAGTCTGAAGCTTTGCCTCCCCGTCAAGATTAATCAGACGATGTCGCCGGCGATTCTCACTCTGTCTCCCTGCCCTCTCTCTAGTTCTGTCGCCGGCGCCTTTGGTGATGATCCCGACAGCTGGAGATGTCTCGTCGTTGCAACTGGTCCCTACCCTCTCTCTAGTTCCGGACTTTGGCGCGAAGTCGGCGGATTTCCGAAAAACTAAGGAGGCGGACAAAGAAATCAGTGATGACGGTCGTCTCGGCTCGTCTGTGGCTGCTGTTTCTGCCGGCGGGTCGGTGGTTTCTGTTGTTCCTGGGTCGTCGTATGGTTTCTGGTTCTTTGGTCGGTGGCTTCTGTTGTTTCTGGGTAGTATGGTTTCTGGTTGGATTGTTTCTTGTATTGCTTCTGGGTCGTATGATTTTTGAATTGAGTGTGGTTGAGCATGGATTAATTCCAATTTGAAAGACCAGATTTTCCTGTGATTTTATTTTGGTTTTTATATTTTAAATAAAATAATTAAAGTTTTTAATTATACAATTTTATTCATTTTTCAGAAAATGAATCAAACACACAAAGACAGTTTTCTATTATACATCCAAACACCGGAAAAGAAAATGTTTTTATGAAAAATGATTCATTTTCCAAAAAAATATTTTCCAGAAGTCATTTTCCTTATTTTCAAACGGACCCTTAGTGAAATTGGTAACATGCAATTTTTATTATTATTATTTTTTTTTATGTGGCATCTTATTCAATTTTTTTTTTTTTAAATCTAAAAAAAAAAAAATGTGGCCGGCAGCGGAAAAGCTACTGGCTTCTTTGTGTGATATGGACGAAGAAACTAGCGGCTTCTCCGTCCAGATTTACATGCACGAAGAAACCATATATGTAGCCAAGTTACCATGAATAACTGCCATGGCAGGTTTTGTTGTTGTCTTTTTTATTTTTATATTTAATTTCATTTTTGTCCTAGATCTATAGACAATTCATTTTTAGTTCTTTGTTTTAGAATATTCTCCTTTGGTCCTAATATTATTATGACATGACCATTGTTTTGTCTCTTGTTAACAAATTATCTAAATGCCCTTAAATACAAGGATATTTCAATCTTCAAAAAAAATAATAAAAATATAGTGGGTCAATTCATTTTGTATTAACAAAAAAAGATCAAAATGTTCATGTATTTGATGATATTTTAGCGGTGTTTTTAAAAACGATAATGCCACAATAATACTATGACAGAAAAAGAATGTTCTAAAAAATGACTAAAAGTAGACTGTCACTTATAAATTTAATACAAAAATGAAATTAATTCTAATTTTAATGTAGTTATTTTAAATTTGTTTTTAAAAAAATTAAAAATATTAATCAACGTAGCATGAGACTTGGGATCGGAGTAGCATGTTATTATAGATCAAATGAGTTATTGAACATTTTTAACAAGGTTAAGAATTCAAGAATATTTATTATAGTTCAATAGTACTTGGTATATAGTTGGAAGATCTATCAAAATCTGACCTTATCTTCTTTTTCTTCTTCTTTTTATTTATTTTTATTTTTTTTTTATTTTGAATGGAAGATAGTAAAATATATTATGTGAGCAAATTAATACTAATTGGAACTACTCTATTTCAACATATGAAAAATTGTCATCTGCTTCAAAAGAGTTGGGTGAATGAGTGGATCATGATTTTTGTACGATATTCTCTTAATCGAATTTGTCAAGTTGTCATACATAACTTTTTTAATGTGATGAAAAACATTGTCATCCTTACTACTATATTATTAGGAAGAAGAGCCAATAACACCTCCACTGAAGTTCAAACTCACGACCTTTCATATAGAAGTCCAACCCGAATGTCATTATACCACAAGGTCTTGGCAGTCTACAAAGTATCTATTTTTATATTTTATATAAATAAACTAACATTTACTTATAACTTTATTACTCAAATTACCTTCTCAAATAATAAATTGGAATAGTAATATATTTTCTGGGCATGGAAATCCGAAATATAATTATATAATAAGAATTTTACTACATAGACTCCTAATTTTTATTTATTTATTTTTAGTTTTGACGATCATTGATAAATTATTTTCATTATAAAAAAATGTCCATATCAAAAATTTAAGGAGCAAATATCAATTGTTGTCTCAACCTTCACGAGTATTAGCAAAATGACAATTTTGGTCCATATGTTTAATTTTTACTAATTTTCATCCACAATTATTATTTTTATAGCAATTTTCTTCCACGACTTTTGTTTTAGTGCTAAAATTCATTCCGCTGGTAACCCCTCCGTTTAAGACATGACGAAATCTAAAATTTGTAAGGGTATTTTCAACTTAATATCCCAATTTGAGCACAAATAAAGAAATTCAAGTCCTAAGATCGATCCCAATTCGCAGTTCTCCTCCTCATCCTACCTTAATAATTTGAGGAGAAGAATTACGAATTGAAATCGATCTTAGTGCTTAAATCCCTTTATACATGTTCAAATTGGGATCTTAATTTGAAAAGGACGAAAATACTCTTAATAATTTCATATTTCGGCATGTCTTAAACGAATGAGTGACCGACGTGATGAATTTTGACACTAAAATAATAGTCGTGGATGAAAATTAGTACTAAAACAAATTGGAATCTTAATTTGAAAAGGGCGAAAATACCCTTAATAATTTCATATTTTAGCATGTCTTAAACAATGAGTGACTGATGTGATGAATTTTGATACTAAAATAATAGTCGTGGATGAAATTTTGTACTAAAATAATAGTCGTGGATGAAAATTTGTAGGAATTAAATATGTGGAAAAACTGTCATTTCACTAATATTCGTGGTATGGGAGTAAAGTTAAGGGTATAATTATAGCAAAATGACAGTTTTTTCCACATACCAATTTTTCCACGCCTTCACTAGATTGAACAACGTGGCAGGCTGGCAGCATTTGAAGGCTTTAAGTGAGTAACTGTTACGTCTGACGTCACTACCGGAAATAACTGTCGATGACGTCTGCAAAACCCATTTTGCAGTTTTCCATTTGTGATTCGGTAGGATCCGTCTCGACGCGCTCTTTCAACGGTTAACGGGCGAAGTAGTCACACGCGCAGAGCCATGGGCATGATATGATATGATGAAATTGAAGCTTTTAAGAATGGCCTTTTCCATTTTTGGATATATATGCGATTTTGATGGAGAATGATTGAAGACGGTTGAAAAATTCTGAGAAATTAAGAGAACGTTTTTGTCATTCTCTCCTGAAATTGCAATCTCGGAGCCGTGTATTTTGTTCCGTCCGTTGGGAATTCCTGAAAATTAAGTGTGATGGGCGGATCGAAAGGGTCTAGATTTACAGGCGGCGGCGAAAGCGAAGAAACGCCGGTGGCCGACCTTATTTCGTCTCAGAGCGTGCGGCTCGGGAAGATCCAGCCACAAGCCCCGGGTTATCGGACCGTGTTTTGCAATGATCCTGAAACCACCGCCATAGCTAATTTTAAGGTCTCCCCTTCTCGATTGCTTTAAAATTAATTGTTACCGTTTCCTTTTGATAAATGTTTTTCGTTGATACTTTTGGTGGATTGAATTGAATTGTTATAATGAAGAATGTGAGTTGTGATTGGTTCGACCTCGAGGAAAATAATGCTTTTGAATACCTGGAGAAAGAAGGAAAAACAAAGTAGAAAAGGATTTTAAGGTGTTCTCTCATCTTTGCATTAGCCAATATATTCTGTGCCTGCCAAACAATAAATTCAATGATTGTTTTCTCTGTGTGACATATTTATTCAGTTCATATTATGTGTACCAAACATTCATGAACCAAACAATGGCTGCACAGTTGAAGTCTCATGCAGTTTAGTCGCGCTCAAGTTGAGACAATAATGCAACATCTTTAAGGAATTGAAAATGTATTTTCCATGCATGCAAAAGAACCTTATTTGATCTACTTTTCTTCTGTGAAGTAAGAAGCCTCTTCATTTAGTGAACTGAAAAAAATTGAGAATGAGAAAGATATTTCAATTGGTTCATTTAGGAAACTACTGATGCAAACAAGCAGATTTTCTCAACAAATACATGCATCGTACATTCGTACTTGAATGGATCATTTAATTGTTTTGTCCAAGGACTCAAGGGAACTATAAAATTGTCCAATTATTACACACTCATTTCCCTCACATTTGAATGATGCAAATGAGCATTTTTTTTTTTTTTTTTTTTTAAAACTTTAGTGGAATCACTCTGATTATCATTATGTTTTCCAGGCTAACTCTGTTTCAACTACAAAGTATGATGTGCTTACATTTTTACCAAAGGGTTTGTTTGAACAGGTATTTTATTAGAAATAAAGTGCATGTGTATTTTTTTATGATATTCCTATTGGCATTTCTTGATAATAATACAAGAAATCATTCAGTTGAATGCATCTTATATGTTTCCACAATGGAATATATAGCTTATGCATAATTTAAGTTTTATGTTATGCACGAAAGCTTTAGTGTATTAGCTTGACTTGCTAACCATTTAGTCATGGGTCCAAGCCTTTGAAATCTCTTTGATAACAGAAGTAAGATTCTTTCATTTTACTTCTCAGACCCTTAAATATGGGAATCTGGTGCACTGTTTCTTACCTACAATTCCTACAAAGTGTGACGTATACTTAGGTCAAAGGGTATTCTAGCAAAATAATACAGAGTAATATACAGGTATTTCTATAAATACATGTCTAAGACCTTTAGTCTAAACTTTTCACAAATTCTGTTTTTCCTCATCTCTGCTTGTACATTATGTTTTAGGCATGAAATGAAGTGGATTAACCCATCCATGTTCTTCAACCCTGCCTTTCTGCTCAAATTTATCTGATTTATTGTACCATAATTCACTTGTGTTGACAGTTCAGGCGGGTGGCTAACCTCTACTTCCTTATGATTTCAATTTTATCATGCACCCCAGTCAGGTATGCTGCTTGTGGTTTTGGTGGGTACATGGTTTCATTTTAATGGAAAAATAATTTAAAATAGACCAATATAAGGAGAAAATGCAAAGAAGAAATGTGCTCTTAAGGCTTTTTCTCTTATTTCTTGCGATCTTCATATGTATGATACTATGGCATTTGTAATGATGCAGTCCTGTAAGTCCAATTACCAACGTGCTTCCTTTGAGCTTGGTGCTTTTTGTTTCTCTTATAAAAGAAGCATGGGAAGACTGGGTTAGTATAATTAGTTAAAATTTCCTTCTTATGTTTTAGAGATGATCATTTGCTATGAAAGAACTTGCTGCCTGCATTTTATTTTTGTTAGAAACCTAATAGTCCAGCAAAACTTATTTAAAGTTAAGTGTCATAGTCTCACTCAAACATGTTGTAAAATAAAGAATCATGAATCAGGATTCGTATCTCTGTAGCCCATAGTCTATATAGATACACAATCACTTGAAGTCATTCCGTCAAGAAATCTCTCTATTTTTGTATCTGATCTCTTTCCTGCATGGCTGCATGTCTTGTTATTCTCTATTCATTATTTCGCACAATTTTTATGCTTCAAGAAAAATGCTCACACTCTATCTCTTCTTTTTTCTTCCGTAATTATGAACAGAAACGTTTGCAGAATGACATGTCCATTAATAATACTTCTGTAGACATCTATGGAGATCACAAATGGTTGAGTGTTCCTTGGAAGAAGCTTCAGGTTGGAGACATTGTAAGGGTAAGTACACTGCATTAATAATTAATCTATATTTGCTGTATTTATTTATGCTTATGGGGTGAATCTTTTACTTAATCTACATCTACCTATACATCATATGAAAGTGTCTTATCTTTTGTTCCTTATTTTGAAGAATGCAATGTCATTTACTTAATTTTTATTTTATTTTGTTAATTAGTTATAATTATAATTATAAGATGTAAATTATTTGAATAAAACTTTTTAATTATATTTTTGAACATCCTTCCTAAAAAGTTTATGAATAGAACTCCTAGAAGAAGAAAAAACCAATTACACTTTTCTTTTCAACTATAATTGGACTATTGATTGTGACATACTGACATTCAGTAATTAGATATTTCAAATCATGTACTGACGATAATGGAATTTGACATAATATATAATAACATATTCATATAGTAAATAAGTATAAACAGAATATATATTCTTGAAATTTATGAGCAGTAGGCTTAAGTAGAGCTCCCATTGTACCAAAGAGTTATACTAATGTTAATAATGTTTCATACCATTTTTTTAATTACCAAAATTGGATAAAAAGTAGTTTAGAATCTGTATATCAGGAAATTAAACAAGAAAATAACTTTAAAATTAAAGAGATAAGAAAACGGCAGCCAAGCACCCAAAATCATGTTCTTTTAGGACCAATGTCTCATTTAATGCATCATCATTGCAATATCCGCTCTCTGGCTTTTAGTACAATTCTCTTGGGACGAGATTTCTTTTATATTTTTATGTTTTATTTATAAGGAAAAAAAAAGAGTACCCAAAATCACTAGGAAAGATCTAGCATGAAACCAACACCTGGACCCATGTTGGATCATCTTGACGTGGGTGGAACAAGTGTCTTGGAGAGTGTGTAACAGAGGTTTATATGTGTTGTAATACATTGTTACTGCCATTGCAGGTTAAACAAGATGAGTTCTTTCCTGCAGACCTGTTGTTTCTTGCCAGCACTAATTCTGATGGTATCTGCTATCTTGAGGTTGTACTTGGTCTGCATCTAAGTAGTGTTCTTTTATTGTTGTTGCTTTCTCAAAAGTAATGTCCTTCACCTTTTCATAAAAAAAAATGGCATTTGTATCTGTTCGATGTGGGGAGGGATAAATATACTATGAATTCTAATGAAACAAATGTTCTACACATACTAAATTCTTTAGTTGGTTTCTTTTCCATCTGTTTCTCTATCTTCTTCTCACTCACTAACTTGACATTGTATTGTAGACGGCTAACTTGGATGGGGAAACCAATTTGAAGATCAGAAAAGCTTTGGAGAAGACTTGGGATTATGTGACTCCTGAGAAAGTGGCTGAATTTGAAGGTTTGACCTTTCTGCTGTTTTTGGACATTACTCATTGTTCATATGTTTTTGCACTAGTTAAATTGATTTTAACCTGAACAATGTTATGGCATGACACTGAACTTTGACATAGACCTGACACAGTTTCCTTTGTAAATTGCAGGTGAAATACAATGTGAGGAACCTAATAACTCTTTGTATACCTTCACTGGAAATCTGATGACTCAAAGCCAAACCTTGCCACTCAGCCCAAATCAACTTCTTCTAAGGGTACATTGTTTCTCTACCATGTTTATATTGTGTCTAAGTCATACATGAATTGCTTTAAGACAAGATGAAAGGTTTCCTGTTTACTTGTTGAAAAGAGAGAAAGCATTTGAAGTTTTGAACACATTTTATTGATGCTATTCATATCGAGGTCTAGATCATCCCTAACAGCTGCTAATGTTTCATTTCCTGCTCTACTGGTCAGGAAATTCTTTTAATTCTTTGTTATGCTTTATTTTACTTTTTTTTTTTTTTTTTTTTTTTTGCATGAAAATGATTTAGCTTTATACTTTGACAGGGTTGCAGTTTGAGAAACACTGAGTACATTGTTGGGGTGGTCATTTTTACAGGGCATGAGACAAAGGTATTAGTTGCATATATAACATCAATTTGTACTGCTAGGTCTTTTAGATTTTATTTTGGTACATCTGGTTAGAGAGGGGAAGTGAGACACCAATCTACTGGTTGGAAAAGGATGTAACTTACCCCCAAACTACACCCTGAACCCTTCTGCTTGGTCTATTAGATGATTGTCTTAGAAGAGTCCCTTTATGAAGCTTTCTTTAACCTTGTTTTACTTGGGATGAAACAAAGTCCTAATACATTGTTAACTTCAATTTGTTGGGCTAGGTCCATTAGATTATTGCCTTATAAAATTAAATTTCATTTATGAAGCTTTCTTTAATCTTCACTGTTTCTTTCTTTCTTAGGTATCCCCTAATTCACATACATTTTGGTATTGATTACATTTTGTCAATACCAATTTTGCTACAGGTTATGATGAATTCTATGAAAATTCCTTCTAAACGGAGCACTTTAGAAAAGAAACTTGACAAACTAATTCTCATGCTTTTTAGTACCCTTTTCTGCATGTGTGTCTTGGGAGCCATCGGAAGGTTTGATTGCTTCTCACATTCTTAATTTCCTGATGTTCAACTGAACTTCCCATCTTAGTTGTAAATATATCTCAAATGTTGACAGTTTTTATTGCTCTTGTAATTTTCAGTGGTGTGTTCATAAGCAGCAAGTATTTTTACTTGCGATTTGAGAATTATTCTGACCCACAATTCAACCCCAGTAATAGGTTTACGGTAATGATCAAGATGCATGCAGCATTTTCCTTTTATTGCTTATGATGGTCTTTCTCTAGTGCTGCATGCATTAATAATTTTGTTTTGCTGCACAGGTTGCTGCTTTAACTATGTTCACCTTAATTACTCTTTATTCACCTATTATTCCGATCTCTCTATATGTTTCTGTTGAGGTAATTCTCATAATAGTTTATTATCATGTTTGCGAAATTTTGTTTTGTAAATAATTTTTGTTTATATAACATCTCTTTCTTCAGATGGTTAAATTTATTCAGTCCACTCAATACATCAATAATGACCTGTACATGTACCATGCTGAGAGTAATACTCCTGCACAAGCAAGGACATCTAATTTGAATGAGGAACTTGGGCAGGTAATTCCTCAGGTTCTGGAGTATGGTAGGATGTCATAACAAATGATCTTTATTATTTTTGTACAGCTAGATGAAGCTTGCTTCTTTCTTTCCCTCCCTCCCCCTCTCTGTTTTTCTCTATTTATTTAAATCTTGTGCGCAGTAAGCAAATGTCTAGCCTCTGTGGTCCAGCTGAGTTACCATGATTTACATCCTCCCAATGCTCAGTCGGACCGGGGTGTGGGAGGCCCTTGGAGTTGGGGATTCAACCTTTGGGAAGAATTTATTTAAATCTTCTCATCCTGTTTGGAAAAGTGAACGGTAAATAATTGATTTCAACTTTTCTTTGGATAGGTGGAATACATATTCTCAGACAAAACTGGCACACTTACTAGAAACTTGATGGAATTCTTTAAGTGTTCGATTGGAGGAGAGATGTATGGTACTGGTGTCAGTGAAATTGAGCAGGGTACATCACAGAGAGGTGGGAAGAGATTGGAGGTAAATATAGCTTTCCTTAATTGTAAAAAGATACATAATTATTTCTAGAGTTAATTCCACTTTTTGTCCCTAGAATATATTGTTTTTCCACTTTTGGTCTACTTGCATTATCATTCTGTCTTGAAATATCAACAGTCCCAGAGATCATCAAAATTAGTACGAGAGAGAGGCTTCAATTTTAATGATGCTCGGATAATGCAAGGTGCTTGGAAGAATGAACCAAATCCCGATGCATGCAAGGTACTGAGTTATATCCTATATATGCTATGGCTGAGTTGAATCAGTGTTCTCACCTATCGGTCTTTCTTGATTTTTATGTGTTATGGAAGTAAAGAGTAGTTTTCTGAATATTCTATTCATTGAAAAGAGAATACATAACCTTATAAATAAATGCTAGAAGAATACTTGTACATTCTATAACACTCCCCCTCAAGTTGGAACATAGATATTAATCGTGCCCAACTTGTTACACAAATAACTAACTCGATCGAGTCCCATTTAGTGCCTTTGTGAATAGTTTCCCTAATTGTAATCAAGTCTTCACAAATCCAGTGGATATTAAACCTTGTTGTACCTTTTCACGAACGAAGTGGCAGGCAATCTCTATGTGTATGGTTCATGCATGAAATATAGGGTTGGATGCAATATGAAGAGCGGCTTGATTATCACTCCATAGTTTTGCAGGGATTGGAGCTTTGAAACCACATTCATTCAGGATGTTGTTTATCCACATCACTTGTTGATGTGTCATTGCTCTATATTCAGACTTTGCACTTGAACGAGAAACCACATTATGCTTTTTTGCTCTTCCATGAAACCAGATTACCTCCGAAGAAAGCACAATAGTTTAGCTTCCCAACTAATCTCCTGTACATCTCAGGATCTTCAAACAATTCCCCCTCATTTGATAGTTTTGTGTTTGGTATCATGGGAGTATTGCAAGGTTCAGTACCCCAGTTTTCCTGTTTCAAATAGTAAGTCAAGGTTCAGGTCCCATCCGTAGAGATCAAAGGGATGTAGTAGAGCCCATTATAATGACAAATATACCCAAAGAATAAAATAATGTATGAACACCGAGAGCACCAAATGGTTGTTGTTTACACCCCTTATAGGATAAGTGAATAACAAAAGGCTTCCAGATTTTTTTATATTTTATATTTTTTATTTTTTTAAAGTGCCAAGCTTGAAAACCCTTGGGAATAAATATGCTATACCGAAAATAAAGAAACACAACGGTTATACCAAAACATCGAGGAAAGAAGTTTGGCAACAAACCCAAAAAGCCTTCAAACTTCACCTAAAAGGTCTAAAGAAAGGCTAAACAACAATTTGGAAAATTTTCATTGGAAAAATTCATCACAAGAAGGCATGCGCGCAATGGCGTGTGAAGGATGTGGCGGGGCATGGCGTGCAGTAATGGTGCAAGATGATGACAAAATTTTCCAAATAAGATTGCAAAAAGGAGAGGAATTCAATAGTGTAGGAGGTGAGATCACAAAACCACCGGAGAAGAAGAGATTTGAGAAAAACCAAACAGAGGTCCAACAATTTGTGATGGCGCATGTGGGCGCACGTAGTGGTAGATGACAACGGAATTTCTTGGGCAAGGTCACAACATAATTCTGAGTATGACTGTGGTGGTAGTTTGGTAGATCTTGAAGAAAACAACCATAGACATGTCAAAATCCAAGAGAGTCATGGGTTACTGTTTATGCTGGAAAATTGGAAGAAAATTTGCGTAGGAAACATAGGCTCAGATACCATGTTGAATTTGAAATCAACAACCATCCGCCAGTTAGGTAGAAGTAAAGATGAAGAATCTAGGAATTAAAAAATGTATATAATACTGAAGGGTTATAATATATTTCTATACACACACACTTAACTGTTAATATAAGCATCTATTCATAAACAGACATAACCCTTTGTTTTCTAACACCTCTTAGCCTTTTCTGTTGGGGATAAGAATTTAAACCAAGTCTAGGTGAGTTGGTGTGGTTGGTTGGTTGTTGTGGGGGTAGTGAGACACGGGGCAGAGTGAAGGTGTGCGGCAGGGGGTGGGTTGTTGTGTGTTGTTTTGGCGGGCATAAGGCCTAAGAGGTGGCATTTCCTGTAGAAGTCACGGGTTTTATTAATGGCTTCATTTAGAGAACTATGCTTGTTCTTTTCCACATTAATCCGAAGTGCCTTGTCCAGACCACCGATATAAATATCAACATGTTGGGCTGGGAATACTATGCCTGCTCATGCAAGGTGAGCCTAAAAGTCCTTGACATAATCATCGTGCCTACCATTCTGAAAGAACAACTTCAGTTTGCCTTGCAGATTAATGCTCCGGGGTGGCCCAAAACTCAAACACTCTTCCTTAAAAGATGCTTAGGAAGCGAACAATGAACACTACAATTTCGGAGTGGTAATACAGCTAGGCCTCGCCAATCATGTGGTGTGCTGCCAGAGGAACACATGGTCTAGTGTGTTGGCATGGCGAAACGAAGTAGCCAAACCACAAGGTCTTCCTCACTTGAAAACAAAGGGAATTTGACCTTGGGTACTGGGGTGGACGGTGGGCATGATCCCCTATGTCTGCCGTAGTGGAAACACCCCTCAGTGTGAACAACAACCTCCGTTTCCTCCTCTCGAACGGGCTGCTTCACTAGTTTCTCGAAGCTGGCTAGGGAGAAAACTTCCTTTTGATTTTATTCAAATTCCAACTTTAGGATGTGTAATACTTCCCTATATAAAGGGATTACAGCTTGCATTCCATAAGGAAATAGAGATTATTGCTACTAATACTATATTCTAAAATATGCTTATTTAAAGTAAAAAAGAGCAACTACTAATAAAATAGGAAACAAGATAACTAAATTGATTCCTAATCAATTTGAGCAGATTGGGCAGCATTTGAGACTGGATCTGTATCTTTGACCCAAGATTGTATCACATAGTAAGAATAATTTGATGGTCACATGAGCGAGCTGGGGGCAAGGTTGTCACCTCTCAAAATATAGGCTCAAACTTGGTTAAAATTCCCTCTAGTGCATCTTGATTTGATATTTGACCTAAATTGTTCATAGAAGAAATTTTGTCATGATGTTCGCCTGACCATGATACTTGTTTTCCATTTAGACAAAACTTCATGTATAAGGCGTTGAAATCCCACAAAATAGGTCCTAATGTGTTGAGCCATTTAACTCCTAAGACCATGTTAAATCCTGCAAGGGGAATCACGTAGAAGTCTACAAGGAAGTTGTTAGATTGGTGTTGAACGAGGACTTGTTCACAAATTCCATAACTAGGTAAGCGTTCCCCATTTGCGACTGCAACCTGCATGCCGTAACGAGTACTTGTGGATAACTGCAATGAACTGGCTGTGGCTGCATTGATGAAATTATGAGTACATCTTGTGTTAATTTAAGGCCTATCAATGGTTGGGCTGCAATTCTCTCACTGGGTTTCATCATCTTGCCCGTGTGTACTCTAGTCATCGCATATAGAGGATATCTCTACAACACTGGGTTCATCTTGTTCACTTGCATTCATGCCTTCATCATTGTTGACCATTAAAATACAGGATAGATGCTTGCATCAGTGACCTTGGAACCATGTTTCATCACAATTAAAACAAAGGTCTTTAGGTTTGCGGTCTTCTTGTTTTGTTGGTGATAACCGACGAATAGGTGGAACCTTCATGCTATGTTTCTGTGTCAGTTGGGGTTTTCTAGATGATATGGTTATAATGGTACGTCTTGATAGAGGAGGAAGAAGGCGAGAAGGCTGTCTAGAAGAACCTGTTGTCGTTAACTGTATCTTGCAATAAAAAGTCTCTAGCAGTATATATGGCCTTAGCTAGTGATTAAGGTCTGGTGCACTCTACCTCAATCCTAAGGAGCTTATTATCTAGTCTAGCCTTGAATAAATCCACTTGTTGATCGACTCAGCCCATATCAACATGATCGAGTAGAAGTTGGAAATCTGAGATGTATTCATTGATGTGGCGACCTCGTTGCTTCCAATTGACTAGTTCTCCTAGAGGATTTATGCTTTGAGGTGGTCCAAAAAAAAGTTTGCAAGAGTCTTTAAAACTTTCCATGACATTTGTGGGGTTCGTCTCATAGGATTTGGTTTACCAAAGTTGTGCTTCTCCTATCAAATTGAATGCCTGCCAAAATCACCTTATCTTGATCCGGAGTACGAGAGTTGCGAAAATATAATTTGCAGCGGTGGAGCCAAATTATGGGTCTTCCTGCCCTGAGAATTGTGGAAAATCCCTTTTGGTGAAGCAAGATTGGAAAACATTATCATTTTCATCAAGAGAAATGACCTCTACCTCTGCCCATTGGGTTGTTGAAGAGGATGGTGTAGTTGTTGGGTTTTTGCCACGGTCTTGGAGTAGTGCCATACCCTAATTCAATTCTTGTCTTGCTTCTGTTAATGATTTGATAGAGGGGTGGTCTGCACGGTCGGCAACGTAAAGATGTTATTTGAATTACTAACGTCACAGGCTATGCTATTGGGAGAAGATTAAAGCTTAGAGAGAAAGACTAAGATGCTGGTTGGGTTTTGTTGAGATCCCAAACTCCCAAACTCTTCTCTTATGAAAAATACATCCTACTTATTATTACATTGTTTCCTCCTTTTATAGATAGAGAATACAATGTTTTCTATGCCTACCAGGACTAGGGATCCTTCTAAAACTCAAACTACTAACTATCCAAAAACTACTCAAAAGTAAACTATACTAAATAATAGAAGACTTCCTAGTAATATAACTAAATAATAATATAACAAAATACTAAAGCTTTCTCCAGTTGCTATTTCTTTACTTCTTTGACCTCTGTTGATGAGGACGTCCCCAGAATGCATAACTTTCTTACTTGTCTTTCTTAATATCTTGGATATTTCATAATATATAACTGTTAATATGAAACATTTCATAGTTTTCTTGCAGAAGTGCAGAAAACTCTCATATAACTTTTGTTCAAATTGTGATCTTGCCAGTACTCTCTATGTTCCACTTTGCCTGCCATATTTCACTTCCTGAGGGTCAACCCAACTTAACATGGATTAAATTTTCAATGCATTTTTTTTTCTTCAAAATTTTGATATTTTGATTTTCAAGAAAAATAAGATTTTCCATTTATATTCATATTTATATGATTTTGATTTTGATTTATTTAATTTATCAATATTTTAATGCTCTCAAAATTTAGTTGAATTGACAATCTAAACAGTGGTTTGACAAATAAAGTAGGGCAGGAGGAGTAATAAAAGGTACGGATTTCTGTGCAGGAATTCTTCAGATGCCTTGCAATATGTCACACTGTACTTCCCGAAGGTGATGAAACACCTGAAGGCATTCGATATCAAGCAGCATCACCTGATGAGGCTGCTCTGGTTGCAGCAGCAAAGAACTTCGGTTTCTTCTTTTACAGGTGTGACTCTTTCAAACTTCATGCTTGTACTTTTATTTTTTCTACGGTGCTTCCTTGTCTCAATTCATTAATAGGAAGGCAATAAATATCAAAAGAAGGAAAAAAAGAATTCAAATCTGGTATTAGAGTAGTAGTTGTTTGGAAACGCATTCTAAGTTATCATTCTTCCGAAAAGTGTATGTCAAAGAATACAGTATTAGTACATGTTAAGCTGAATATCTGTATCTGTTGTATTCAATGAATAGAGCTGTACAAGGGAGCCTATTTATATACACTGCTGAGACTCCTTAGCCACATGTTTTGTAATTTGAAAAATAAGAGCTAAATCCTCAACTACCCCTTCATTCTCTAACACCCCCTCAAGCTGGAGCATAAACATTGATCATGCCTGGCTTGTTATAAATGTACTCAAGCCTACTTTTACCAAGTCCCTTCATGAACGAATCTGCTAGTTAATCATCCAGACCCTTTTTGCACTTTTTCATGCACAAAACAAGTCAACTTCAGTATGCTAATCATCCAGACCCTTTTTGCACTTTTTCATGCACAAAACAAGTCAACTTCAGTATGCTAATCATCCAGACCCTTTTTGCACTTTTTCATGCACAAAACAAGTCAACTTCAGTATGCTAATCATCCAGACCCTTTTTGCACTTTTTCATGCACAAAACAAGTCAACTTCAGTATGCTTGGTCTTCTCATGAAACACATGATTATTGGAAATATGTATAGATGCTTGGTTATGGGTGAACACAAAGGAGGCCGAACAGGCTCTGATACCAGCCATCACTCAATTGGGCTATAATGCATATGAGCTAAATCTCAATAAAAGATTGAATCCAATCAATTAGTTAGTCTAACCCCATGACCTTATAAATCCATATGTTCTCTCTTATATTTTCAATGTGGGACTCTTAACAATCTTCATGCTAATTTCTTCTTGAATGTTGTGTATCCAAGTTATTTCACAAGTTGTGTGTGTCATAGCCTTGTATTCAAATTCTGCAGTAGATTGAGCCACAACACTTTGCTTCTTACTTTTCCACGAGACTGAATAAACACACACAATTCCTATCCCACCAGCACTCTTCAAATATTTCACAATTCAAACAGCCGCTTCCCAATGAGTTAACGTAGATGACTCCATAAATTGATTCACCACACTCACTGATATTACGATATATGGAAGGGTAATAGTGAGACAGTTTAGTTTTCTCACCAATCTCCTATACCTCTCTGGACTATCAAAGATCACCCACCCACTAGTTACAAGTTTGGTACTTTGATCCATGGGTGTCGCAGAGGGCCTTTACCCCAGCAATCTAGTATCCTCAAGTAGATCTAACACATTTCCTTATACCTTTTTTGGAACGAACAACTTTTATACATTGAAAATTCTTTAGCACTCCCAGATCCCCTGTATGAAACTTCTTTGAGAAAAGATTTGAGAGCATCAATCTCTCCTACATCACTACTTGTGACCACTATATCATTAACATACAATATCAACAAAATACACCCATTGTCAATATGCTTGAAAAAAACAGTAAGCATACCAACTTCAATGATTACATTACTAAACCTTCGAAACAGTATGCTCCATGTAAACTTCTTCAATCAAGTCACCATGCAAAAAAGAATTCTTTACATCCAATTGATACAGAGGCCAATGATTGGTTTTGCAGTGAGCGTTGTAATAGTAAGTAATAGATTTCTCTCCTTGACTGCATCCCATATTTCTTCTATAGTATCAAACAACAAGAAATTTTCAACAATGTCATTATTCATAGAATCGATAAGCCATGTATCATACTATTTTCAATCTTCCACTTTTTGAAACTTGGATGTGTAGTCTATGGCCTTACTGTTGTTCCTATGAGATAATCATCCTTCCCCTTACCACAAATAAACAGCAACACTAGTTGTGGCCACTACAAATAATTATGGCCATTCAATTTGTGTCTTGTGATGACAATAGGAGATGAATTGTTGCCACCAAGGTTTGAAGTCTCTGTATTGCCTCCAACTTTTGATGTTTTTATTGTTGGAAGTTTGTGAGGTTATTATGTATTTTGTCATGCAGAGAGAACAGAGTTGAGAGCTGAGAAAAGAAGGCTAGAAAGAATTGACATAAAGGGACCACGGTTAAGAGAACTAGCTTTGATGTCATGAAGAATTTTTGAATTTCTTACTAAGCCTAATAAAGGACAGTAATTACAACAACAGATACACAAAATGGCTAATAAAGGAAATAACAAACTATATATCTTGATTCTTTCCTGAAAATTAGGAAAGAAAATCATGAAATAGAAGCATAGGAGAAGATCACAATAAATATCACTTTTTATTCCTAAAATAAATTTCCTTCGACTTCCGAATATTCAATACTCTCTCTCAAGTTGGAGAATATATATCATGTAATCCCAACTTGCAAATTAAGTTTTCAAAGTTAGGAATAGGTAGAGCTTTGATGAGGATGTTTGTAGCTTGTTGCTTGGTAAAATGTAGTTCAATTTAATAGTCTCATTAGACACCTTTCCTGTGATTAAATGTTAGTCAATTTCAACGTGCTTAGCGCTATCATTATGCACAAGATTCTTTGCTATGTTGATAATTGCGTGATTGTCACACATCATAAGTATATGAGATGAACTCATTTGTCCTAATTCACTAAGAACCCTTTTTATCCAAATCCCTTCACAAATTCCCTTGCTAGCTAGTGCTTTGTACTTGTGTTCTGCATTGCTTCTAGCTATCACTGCTTGTTTCTTGCTCCTCCATCTAACAAGATTACCCTACAAAAAAGAACAATACCCAGAAGTTGACCATCTATTACTGATGTTTCCTGCCCAATTTGCATTTGGGTACGTCTCAATGTCATGATTCTCTATCATTCTAAAAAATAAGCCTTTCCTAGGTTTCATGTTCAAGTCATGGTTGCAGTAGGCGCTAGGCGCTAGTCGGGCGGCCGGGCAGCGCCTAGCGCCTAGGCGGATTCTAGGCGGCGCTAGGCGGGCACCAAAAAAATTAAAAAAAATAGTAACAGACTTGTAGTTCGACAATTTTAATGAGGTTGTTTTCAACGTTCACTCAAATAACACATCTAAATAAATGAAATAATGATAATTTATAAGTCATAATGTCATAATAATATTAAAATCAATAATTAATGAAAGACGACATCGGTCAAAATCGAACAAAATCGGTCAAAAACGGTCAAAATCGGACAAAATCGGTCGACTCGGCCGAGTTGACCGACTCGGCCGAGTTTGGCCGCCCAGGCCGCCTAGGCGGCCGGCCGAGTTTTGGCCAAAACTCCAAGGCTCGGGGCCGCCTAGCGCCTAGGCGGGCGGCTAGGCGGCCGAGTTTTGCAACCTTGGTTCAAGTATCTAAGAATATGTAAATTGCTTCCATATGTGTTCCCCTCCTATAGGATTGTGTATGAATTGACTCAACACTAACCACAAAACCAATGTCTGCTCTAGTGTGTAAAAGATAAATCACTTGTCAAACAAGTCGTCAATATCTCCCCCATATCTACAAGTGTTCTTCCTTTCTTAGTGCCAAGCTTCTTCTAACTGTCTATAGGAGTATTAATGTGCTTGCACACAGACATGTCAGTTTCTTTAAGAAGATCTAAAATGTATTTCTTTTGAGAAACAGTAATGCCCTTCCTTGTTTTAGCCACTTCCATACCTAGGAAATATTTAAGATTTCTAAGACCTTTAACTTCAATTTCTTCTCACAAATATTTCTTTAAGTTTTATAATTTTTCCACATCGTTCCCAGATAGAATAATATCAACATAGACTATCAACACAATGATTTTCCCATCATGAGATTATGATCAACCTGATCCTACATGTAGCCAAGCTTCAAAATTACCTTTATGAATGTGTCAAACCAAAACCAAAATTACCATTTCTACTTCCTTAATGCAATCGACTGAGGCTCGAACCCACACCCTCCCATATGGGAGTGCAACCTTGGTGCCATTAGACCACAATAAAAGTCCCAAATACCACATCCTTTTCTTACAACGACAATAAACATCTTTTGGGATAATTGATACAACTTAAATTATTTGACCACTAAACCAGGTATCTATCAATTCCCACATATCTTTCACAGTTTCACCAATGTTGCAGGGATAATACAGAGTATTATTTTCTTAATGATGCAGTTCACTATTTGGGATAACAAAGCTTTATCATCAAATTTTAACTCTTTAGTTGCATTAGGTTTTGTAAGGAATACTTCAGTTAAATGATCATCTATACCCATGCCACCCAAATTCAGTTTAACAAAATATTTCCATTCACCATAGTTAGACCCATCGGGTGTAAGAACCATAGCAATTAATTTAGATGGGGTTGACATAATTGTAATTGCTTCGCCTTCAGCTATATTTAAACAACTAACAAAAGAAAAGGAAAAAAGAAAAAGAAAAACTACATCTGTATCAAATATAGACAAAGCTTCAACCTAACAACACTTCAAAACTATTGAAATTGAGGGATTGAAAGGCCCGGTGGGTGGTGAATAGCTACCACCCTCCAATTACGCTGAAGTAATATGATATGATCACGGGTTATACTCCTCGTTATGGGCTTATGAGAGACAGAGTTTGAATGATTGGTTCTGTTGACACTTGAGAAATAAAAAGCATTTTGGAAATAAAGTAGTGTTGAAATTGAACACCCTTGGGGAATAAATTTAGCATACCACAAAAGTAAGGAAACAAACATGGCAATACCAAAATTTAACACCCTCAGGAAAGAAACTCAACAATGAACCCAAAAACCTTTCAAATTCACCAAAAAGACCAAAGAATGACAAAACCGGCAGTGACACATGCCAGCGCGTGGGAGCGCAAGAGGAGGTTTTTGGCAATGGGCTTCCTGGATAGGGTCACAATGAGGTCCCAAACAATGCAGTGGTGTTAGTTTGCAAAGATAGCCCCACCAGACATGTTAGAATTGAGAAGATAGTTGCGCTCCTTTGCTAGAAAATTATCTTATACTTGAAAACAGTGGTAAAAATAGCCTAGGATTCATAGGCTCATATCCATATTGAAATGAAAGGATTGAAAGGGTATGGAGGGTGGCAAATAGCTACCACCCGCCAGTTAAATAGAAGCAATATATGTGAGAAACTAAAGAAAAATATAATAGAAAGAATATATCAGACTGAAAAATTACAAAAAAGAAAAAAGAGAATTAAAAGAATATATTAGAATGAAATATTACAATAGATTGTCTCTTTGTGTGTTTTTGTGTATTTAACTATATAGGGGTCCTATAGTGATAAGAGCATTAGGCTAAAATTGTCCTTACTCAGAATAGGACACTAAGCCTACTTCTACTATGAATAGGACTAGGGTTTCCTATGATTCATTAAAAACTCTTTCAAAACCTTACCTCAACATACTCAGCACATCAAGGTGAGACTATTCGTGCAAGCCTTGAATGGAAATGTCCCTGGAGTCTTCCTCATGCAGCAGCGCGTAACATTAGAGGTGCTCAGAGACAGCAGTGTGTGGTGGCACTATCCGTCTTCTGAGGTCGCCTCACTGTTCTGACCTTAGCCCAGTATCTCACACTCACTCACAGGCTTTGATACCGTGTTAAATTGAATATCTATTTCTATTGTATTGAATGAATAGAGCTGTACAAGGGAACCTATTTATATACATTGTTGTGACTCCTTAGCCACACAATTTGAAATTTGAAAACAAGAGCTAAATGCCTAAATCCTCAACTACCGCTTGATTCTCTAACACTACACGTGTGATGTGAGCGTAAATAATGTAATGAAAACATAGAAGAATGAGCTATTCTATTATTTTAGTCCTCTTGCTAGTTTAGTTTATTGGACATGCTAATAAATACAAACTCTCCTAATTAACTGAAGTTATTAGATAATACATTGTGACTGAGATACTGTTACCTGCTTCTTTCTCGGGTTTAGAATTATCCATCGAGGTTATTTGAAAGAAAGAAGTATTTTATATTTTTTTGAACTTTATGGTGATACTTGGAGCACAAAAACATTCTCTAGTAATTGTGATAGTTGTGCTACTCTCTGAAGCCGTTATGCCTGGCTTGAGACTGTTAATAACCTTACTGATATTTTTTCTACAGGCGTACTCCTACTATGATTTATGTGCGTGAGTCACATGTTGAGAATACGGGGAAAAATCAGGATGTTTCCTATGAGATCCTGAATGTTCTTGAATTCAACAGGTGCTAATTTTTTATGTTTTCTGTGAAGTTGGATACCACATTCAACTAGAGCTGAGGGTGACTGTCAACTTTTATTTTGTACATAGTACGCGGAAGCGCCAGTCTGTTATATGTCGCTATCCTACTGGCAGGCTAGTACTGTACTGCAAGGTAATGGCTTTGTTTGGATTGAAAAAATTTAATGCTATCCTAATGCCAGTCTGAGAACCTACTTTCCAACAGGGTGCGGATACTGTAATTTATGAAAGACTGGCAGGTGGAGAAAATGATTTGAAGAGAATAACAAGGGAACACTTGGAACAATTTGGAGCAGCGGGCTTGCGCACACTTTGCTTGGCATATAGGGACTTAAGTCCTAATGTATATGAAAATTGGAATGAGAAATTCATTCAAGCGAAATCCTCTCTTCGAGACCGTGAGAAGAAATTGGATGAGGTACGCTGTTTTACTTAATTTTCTTTTATATTAGCATGTGTTTGGTAGTATGGTGTTTGTTTTCATTGAAAAGTGGCTCCAGATCAAGGATGGGTATTATAGCCTATACCAACATCTTTTTATCATCAGCAACTTCACATCATGCACTTAGATGTTTATGAATTTCTTGATTAAGGTGGTTTTCACTCTAGAAAGGAAATCATTAGTCTAAATATGACAGTCAGTTTAGTATGATTCTTGCTGTATGAACGCATATATTTCTTGGCATGTTCTGTTTCTTTACTTCCCAGGGAATTGGCAGTGCAGCACCTCAAAATAACTATTATTTTCATCATCTTCATCATCATCGATGCTTTACAATTGTGAAGATCTTGTACAAAAATTCTTGAGTCTTGGATTCAAGAGGAATTATTGGTTGATCAATTACAAGTGTTATTTTGATGCTTCAAAGTCTATGAACTTTTAGACTAAGGTCCATTACGTATTTAAAAAGTATGGAATAATGACTTTCGTTGCATAGTGGGTTTTGGTTTCGTGAATATAGATGGAAAAATGTTCACTATTTATTTAATCATGTTAGTCTTGTTCAGGTGGCAGAACTCATAGAAATAGACCTTATGTTGATTGGATCCACTGCTATAGAAGACAAACTTCAGGAAGGAGTGCCTACTTGCATAGAGACTCTGTCAAGGGCTGGGATAAAGATTTGGGTGCTTACTGGGGACAAGATAGAAACTGCAATAAATATAGCTTATGGTTTGTATGTCTGAAATAAATTTTAGTTTTCTTTATGTATATATATGCAAACATCTTACCTTGTTTATTTTTAATTTCTGCAGCATGCAAGTTGATAAATAACAACATGAAACAATTTGTTGTTAGTTCAGAAACTGATGCTATTAGAGAAGTAGAAGATAAAGTGAGCAGTTTCCTTGGTTTAGTTGTTAGCATAAATGCAAAATATGTCATAATGTTAACATTTTTTTTTTAAATTTCTTTACAAGGGCGACCAAGTGGAGATTGCTCGTTTTATCAAAGATACAGTGCAAAATGAACTTATAAAGTATAATGAGGAAGCACAACAATATCTCTATTCTGAATCTAGACCAAAGTTAGCACTTGTTATTGATGGAAAGTGTTTGATGTATGCATTGGACCCCAGTTTGCGTGTAACACTCTTAAATTTGAGCTTGCATTGTAGTGCAGTGGTCTGTTGCCGAGTTTCTCCTTTACAGAAAGCACAGGTGAGTTTTATTGGTGGTCTCTGTTATTTAGTCTTAACATGAATAGTTTTGAAGTCAAAATCATTATTTTCCATAGCTGAACCACTATGAGTGACTGCAGAAGTTACTACAAAGCGAAGTAGGTCACTGATTCTGTAGGTGATAAATATTATAGATTTTTCATCCTCTGCTTTCAGGTGACTAGATTGGTTAGGAAGGGAGCACAGAAAATAACTCTTAGTATTGGTGATGGGGCTAATGATGTTAGCATGATTCAAGCTGCTCATGTTGGTGTCGGAATAAGTGGGCAGGAAGGAATGCAAGCAGTAATGGCCAGTGATTTTGCAATTGCTCAGTTTCGTTATTTGACAGATTTGCTGCTTGTCCATGGACGCTGGTCATATTTGAGAATCTGCAAGGTTTGTAGTTATACACTTTTTGTATTCCATAATTGACAAATACTTCATTTTAGAAATTAATGTCCATAAACTTCTGGATACAGGTTGTGACATATTTTTTCTATAAGAATCTGACATTTACCATGACACAATTTTGGTTTACCTTCCACACTGGATATTCTGGTCAAAGGTTCTATGATGATTGGTTCCAGTCCCTCTACAATGTTATCTTTACAGCCATGCCTGTGATTGCTCTTGGACTTTTTGAAAAGGTATTGAAAGTATTATTTCACGTGGCATTACTGTGTTTTCCACTTCCCCTAGTGTATGATGTAGACCTTTTCTCAATCATTGCAGGATGTTAGTGCTTCCCTTTCCAAGAAATATCCCGAGTTATACATGGAGGGAATAAGAAACACGTTCTTCAAATGGCGAGTCGTGGCTGTTTCGGCTTTCTTTGCAGTTCTCCAATCACTAATATTGTATCATTTTGTAACTGCTTCTAGTACCAAGAGCATGAATTCAGATGGAAAGATGTTTGGCCTGTGGGATGTCAGTACAGTGGCCTTCACTTGTGTTGTATTGACTGTCAATTTGCGTCTCCTAATGATGTGCAATGCAATTACGAAGTGGCATCAAATTACTGTCGGGGGAAGCATATTGTTGTGGTTCATATTCGTCTTTGTATACTCAGCTGTTCTCTTGCCAAAAGCTCAGGTGGGGTTTTAAACATTTTGTGTTACTCTTGTTTGACCAAGCACATGCTAACTCGATCCACGTTCGTGTTGTGAATAGGAGAACGTATATTTTGTCATCTTTGTTGTGATGAGTACATTTTATTTCTACGTCACGATGCTGCTCATTCCCGTTGCTGCACTTTTTGGCGACTTCTTATATCAGGGGTAAGCTTTTGGAACTCATATAAACGGCGCCTAACTAGCTTGGACCACTCTCAAGTTGATTCTTTGTTTAGTTATTATTGAGCATATAATAAAACATAAATGTGCAATCCAACTATCAGCTAAGGCTTTTAGTTGAGATGGAGCACATGCTTCAACAGGTCATGGGTTCGAATCTCCGCGTCACCCGATAAAAAAAGAGACTATGGTTCACGTGTTGCTTGGAGCCCATAAAAAAGTATCGGCCCGCACACGTGAAGGGGCGTGCTGAGCATATAATAAAACATAAATGTGCAATCCAACTATCAGCTTAGATTTTTAGTTGAGATGGAGCACATGCTTCAGTTGTTACTTTTACTAGTGTTAATTGGGCATATATATTTTCAGGGTTCAAAGATTGTTCTTCCCCTATGACTATCAGATTGTTCAGGAAATCCACAAGGGTGAGGTTGAAAGACTTGGGACAGGGCTGCTGGAGTTTGGATCTGAGCTCACACCCGACGATGCAAGGAACTTCGCGATGAAGCAACTCCCGGGACAGAAATCAAGGCACACCGGTTTTTCTTTCGACTCGCCTGGTTATGAGTCGTTTTTCGCATCTCAGGCGGGCGTGCCTGCCCCTCATAAACCATGGGATGTTGCTCGCCGAGCCAGCATGAGGAAGACTAAATCAAAAGCTCATCGGAAGAACTAACTCTAGCTACTCTGCTCCACTCTACTCTTCTCTACTCTTCTATACTCTACATCGTATCGTTTGGTAATACATTCTTCTCATTCTCTTTTAAGCAGTAGAAATTTTAGCATTATTCTTTCCTGAATTACATATTTTTCGTATAGTATTAGTAGTTACTAGTAGTGGTTAACAAATGTCAAGCAAAACCTTCAGAAGGGGAACTCACTTGAGTGCTTGGTATTCTAGATTGGATGATCTTTTTAGTAGTTTGATATCTATTAAAGTTTATGATTATTGTTTTGGAGGCTATATGATCTTGTATATAATAAATATGATTTGTGACAAATACAATTTTTTTATGTTTATTGACTCACAAGTCACAATAAATCTCGTCGTGAATTAATTATAGATATGATAAATGATAAATACTGCTCTATGTATATTCTTATACAATCTTTCAAACCTAGCATAGCATACTTGCCCTATTATCCGTACTCAGTATCATTATTGCTATTCACTTGTATTTGAGTAGCTTATTGAGCTGTCAAAATGGGCCAGCTTGGCCCATACGGGTTGGCCCGTCTCGGGTACAATTAGAAACGGGTCGGGTTGAGCTGACCTGTTTTTACACGGGAAATACCATATATGTTATATATATATATATATATATATATATATATATATATATATATATAAAATTAGATTTTAACTTTTAATATATAATTATAATAATTTATTTAATTTATATTTAAAACAAATATAGTTTAAATGTGGTAGGTATAAAAAAAATAAAATTACGCATTCACTACTAGCTATAGCTTTTGGTGGTAAGTGTTTGATCATAACAAATCGTATCAAAATACATGTTATTAGAGGGAGCCCAGCAAGAGTAAATTGTCTCAATATCTATCTTTGATTAGTACCCGTCGTCTCATGATCCTCACATGAGAATCACCCTATAAAGATATCATATTTGTAAGGTAGAATGGAAGATGAGTTGAGTCAAAGCGATATGATGCGAGGATGGAGTGTATCATCAAAGGTGGAATTCATATCCTTAGTGTAGGAATTGTTAATATATATAATATATATATATAATCTAAGGAATGTCATACCAGAGTAGATATTTGATAATTGATGTCCTAGGAATTGAAGTGTCAAAACTCAAAGTTCACACGTCGGACTAATTAACATATTCGATTTGGCGAAATAATAATATCGAAATGCACCTTTGAAAGTGAATATATGTATGAAAGAATTTTAAAATTTTGCAGAATGGATTCTACAACTGTGAATGCATGCATGCTTCAAATCAGAGATCTCAGACAAGATTTCAAACATTGTCCGTCCTATATATATTTATTAGAGAAAATTTTACTTTTGGTCCTCCGGACTATTATATATGAATCACATTTAGTCATTAATTATTAAAAGTTTCTAATTTAATTAGATGCATGATGACTATGTAATTTGTATCACATTTTGTCATATCGACCAATTTCCTAACCAACTATTGTTGGAAGTGCTCATTCCTGAAGGAGCACTGCATTTGTTTCTTTTGAAAGGAGCACTTCTAGAATTAAGGAGCACTTTCGGAATGAGCACTTCCAGCAATAATTGGTTGGAAAATTGGACGACATGACTAAATATGATACAAATAACATAGTCATAACCCTAATTAAATTATGTGCCCATCTCATCAACCAAAACGCTAAATTAATAATTAGATTATACATTTATGTTTATATATTATATATATGCTCAACACTACACTGGAAAAAAAATTATATATTAAGAAGATTTTTAATTTAGTATGCCTCTAGCTTTAATTGAAATTATCACACTTTAAAAGTTTCAATTAATTATGTAGTGTCATAGAATTTATTTTATTTGGGGCCTATTAATAGTTAATTAATTAACAAACACAACACAAAAGTGTGATCCTCAGGATACCATACCAACTGGGAATGAAGGAAGTGGGGAGACTTCTAGAAGTGTAGTGCACTTGTGCAAAATATGAAAGACATAGAAAGAAAGCTTGTAGGAGAAAATGGTTTCAAAAGGGGCCTTTGGCACCTGAAGGATATATGCTTGGTTGCCTGATTGGCAATGGGAGCATATATATATATATATATATATATATAGTCGGACTCCCATGAGAATATGTTGGCTAATCTGGGTCATTGGAATTAGACAATCCATAGTTGTGATCAAATCATCGTAATATATACTAATTAGCACTAATTAAAGGCACATATTAATAAGGAAAACTATTTTTAAGGACAATTTGGTCAGTCAACAGGCTCCCCAACGAGTTCAATAGACGCGTTAAGTAATAGCGTTGGACCAATGGGTCTATTGAACTTGTTGCCGTTGAGTAGTATTTGATTATTCGCTTGGTCCAGACGTTACATTCATGTTGTTTTGATCGTGCATTCCTATACATAATGTCGCGCATTCTTATACTGAATGTCGTTTATCAATCCTTCTCTGCTGGTTGTGCATTCAAACACAGTCCAACATCCTACAATACACGTCCCAATGCCTTACGATGCACTGCACATCTCACTAGCCTACGATACACCCTCCCCCTCTAAATTTATAGATTCACAAATGGAAAAACGCCGGCCACAGAGGGAAGTGAGAAGAAACGTTTCGGTAAAATTACTAAATATAAAGACCTAGAATCAAGGAAAGAGACGTCTAAAAGAAACGTCTAAATATAGCAACTCAAAGAAAGGAAAAAAACAACAAAATTTACCACATTATCCCAGCTCCCAAAATTTAAAATAACGGATAAAAATAAAAAATCAAATAAGAGCCAACAGATCATGCCATATGAATAGTTCAGAGTGGTTCACAAGTTCTCACGTAATCATTGATTCTCACCCAGTTGAAGAATGTGTTTCATGTATATATTAATGAGTACCATATTTAATATTAGATTGAATGATATGTTTCGTGTCAACTAAATGTTAAAATTAGGAAAATTCTATTCACACCACCTATTTTGCTATTTGCACCACCTATATAATAGGTCAAATAACTTTATAGGTGGTGCAAATATCAAAGTGCTATTTGACCACCATTAATAAATGTGGTCAAAAAGTAATATTTATTATTAGTTTTTAAAGAAATCAACATATTTAAAATAAAAAAAAATAAAAAAAAAGATCCGTCACCTTCTCCGGTGAGAAGGCGACGGACTGCCTTCTCACCGGAGAAGGTGACGTTTCATTGTTTTTTTTTTTTTTTTTTAAATTTTAATGAATTACATTTTGAATTAATTAATTATTATTTAAATCTAATAAATGCAGTTTTATTAACGTGGTGCAAATAGCATTTTGACCACCCATTAGGCTATTTGCACCACATATGTATTTATTATAAATTACCACCTTTTTATACTTTTAATGTACTTTATACCTCATTTTAGTTAAAGGGTGGTGCACCCTAAAATTATCAATTGGTCTTGGTATGTGTTCAGGGAACCCTTAGGTCAAAAAGTTATTGCCAGACAAGAAAAAATAATATAATTCCTTTGGAATGGTAAAAAAAGATTTGTTTGGTCTTAATGATATGTGGAATCATTTATTCTCTCTAATAATTTTGCTTTAACCACAAAATCATCTTGATTTTTGGGGGACAATGCATAATATTGTTATGTACGAATCCGCAAAAGGTGATATGTTTTTTTAATTAATGTTATTATTATTTTGTACTTATAATATGATTTACTATCATATTGAGCCGCCTCGTGCAGGAATATATAAAAGTAAAGGAATTGAAGCGTTTCTTTATTGTGTTTTTGGGGTTAATATCCCAAATCCCGAATGATAGGGATGATGAGTCATGGGTTGAGCCTCATTTAGAGTAATTTTGTATAAGGTATATATTTTAGTCTTTTTTGTTTTAAAGAAAATATTTGGCTCGATCTCTTAATTTTATTTACATCTATAGTAATTGTTTTTTTTTTTTTTTTGAAATTAAAATAACTTCATTAAAAAAAAAAAATTACGAGCTAAAACAAAACATAAAAATAAAGGAGGAGTAACATCCCACTCTCCCTAACAAAGAACAAAGAAAAAGCCTCTGTAGTAGCAACAACATGAACAACACCGTTCCTAGAAGGCTTTTGTATGGCGAGCAAATAAAGTCTCCATTGATTTGTGTGGTACTAACCATATCTTCTTGTGCAATGTAGTTAAATGAATCTTCATGCAACTACGCCATTTATCAAATTCAGCTTGAGAATATTTTGGTATTGAACTCAAATTTGACATTGTGAAAGTTTGCTAAACAAATAAGATTTTTTAAAAAATTTCGAGTTTTGTTTAATTGATTAGCTCAGTTGATCGTGCAAACAACTACTCTAATACCACTTGTGGTTCCGAGGCAAGCAAAAAGTCTAGAAGAGGGGAGGGGTTGAATAGACTCTTAAATCCTTTTCAAAAATAATATTTCAGAGTTTAAATGGCAGGTGAAGGCTTTCACTTGCCATGTTTGAATTAGTAGCGTTTTTGTGAGTTGATTAGGATGCGTGAGTGAGTGTGTGTGTTTAAGTTCAACAATTAAAGTAGAGAGATTAAGGAAGAGATGAGTTAGATATTTTTATAGTTGTTCAAGAACTCTCTACTCCACTCTTCTCCTTAATTAACCATGCATTTCCTTTGCATCTCTTGGCTATTCAACAAGCCAGACAAATAATCCACAACCCACTAATAACTAGCTTGTTAAAGTAGGTTGCTCTTTTTTTGGGTGTACCTAGGGTTTCCATTATCAAACACAGTGACTAATCTCCTCGCTGAATTGTAGGCACCGACCTCTTTTAGGTGGAACAGCTGGCCTGTAGATATATAGCAGGTTGCTCTACTATATATTCAGGCCAATTCGAGCAATTCTCTCTCGTGTCATATCATTTTTAGCAACGGGAAAGCTGACACCTCTCCTTTACCATCAACCAACAGGCTTTGTGTTGGTCTCTGGTCATTGTCTCTATCCTGTTCTTGTGTCAATCTAAGGATAATAATTTACTCCAACATATGCTAAATCCATTACTTATTGATGGAATTTTCAGCAGATTCTATACCAACAATCACTCCCAACACATTTTCCATCCATAGTATTCTTCGAAATATATATGATAACTATATATGCATTATGGGACAAACAAATATAATCCATTGATGATGAGATGCTCCAATTTGTTTCGTATGCTTTTGGAGCTAGCTGTAGTACACTTGGCTTGGGGGTTGGGGGAAGGGAGGGGGGGGGGGGGGGGGTCCCTATATATCCATACAGATAAATATGAATGTTGCAACTATGATTTAGATATGATCTTTCTATTTTATTTAATTTTGGTAAGTATAGTAGAGG